AACTCATCAAGGACTCTTAGTACTTTCAGGGCTGCAGACTGTATGGGGAGGTGCCACACCACCAAATCAAAACCACCAGGGCCGCCCAGACCACCAAGACCACTTGGACCACCAGGATCACCTAGACCACCAAGACCGCCTAGACCGCCGGACCCAAGACCACCGGGACCACCAAGACCACCTAGACCACCAAGACCACCAAAGCCACCAAAGCCACCGGGACCACCAAGAGCACCACCAACACCGCCTAGACCGCCACAATCACCACCAAGACCACCGAGACACCAAGACCGGACCACCAAGGCCACCGGGACCACCAAGACCACCAAGAGCACCACCAACACCGCCTAGACCGCCACAAGTACCGGGACCACCAAGACTACCAAGACCACCTAGGCCGCGGAGACCACCAAGACTGGACCACCAAGGCCACCGGGACCACCAAGACCACCAACACCGCCTAGACCGCCGCAATCACCACCAAGACCACCTACCACCACCAAGGTTTCAGGGACCTCCAAGACCACCAAGAGCACTGCCAACACCGCCTAGACCACCACAATCACCACCAAGACTACCAAGACCACCTAGACCATGGAGATCACCAAGACCGGACCACCAAGACAGGCCACCGCGAACCCCCAAGACCACCAAGAGCACCACCAAGCCACCGGGACCACCAAGACCACCAAGAGCACCACCAACACCGCCTTGACCGCCACAATCACCACCAAGACCACCGGGACCGCCAAGACTACCAAGACCACCTAGACCACGGAGACCACCAAGACCGGATTACCAAGACCACCAAGGCCACCCGGACCCCAAGACCACCGAGAGCACCACCAAGACCACCAAGAGCACCACCAACACGACGCCACAATCACCACCAAGACCACCTAGACCACCACCACCAAGGCCACCGGGACCTCCAAGACCACCGAGAGTCAAAAGCACCGCCAACACCGCCTTGACTGCCACAATCACCACCAAGACCGCCGGGACCGCCAAGACTACCAAGACCACGGAGACCACCAAGACCGGACCACCAAGGCCACCGGGACCACCAAGAGCACCACCAACACCCCACATAATATATACTGTAGTGTATTTGAGCTCAGCCAGTGCCAAGTAAATGCCGCCGCACATATGTAAGCTGACCGTATATTTAAATACAATATTTTGATCGTATAGTCACTCCGTGTGTTTTAAAAACAGGCGGGCGGGCCTTGCCGGAGGTAGTCTCAAATACCAGTTCACTTATTAAAAATCGCATATGTAAAAACGATACCGTACACCTTCATATAACTATAACCCAAGCAGGTGAACATTCAGGGAGTTTTTGCCCAGGCAAGTTCACGTTGGGTTCTGTGGACATGCCGAGGCATGTCCCTCGTCCTGTCGTGGCTTGAACCTTCCAAGGCAACGATGATGGAAAGTCAATACCTCAGTTTTCGCTTTCCGAGGCAGAGGATGTTTGAGGACACCATCCAACATAGTTAGTTTCCGCAAAAGCCATCCAAGAGCATAAAGAAGTGGTTCATGTGTGTTGCTTGGTTTCTCTTCTAAATGTATCTTTGTTTTTGTTGACAAAGAGGCACATCTGGCCCTCTATGTTGTCCTTTCGTCGCAGCTCAGGAGTGAGGGATCTGATTTGGGTTTCTTAGCATTGGTCCTGGAAGTCTTCATGGACCTGTTGCCAGTGTGCATCCCAGATATTCAATAGATTTCAATAGAACAACTTCTAAAACCTCAAACTGTAAACTCACATGCTTTCGCGAAAGCAAGAGCGCAGTTCGCGACAGGTTGGCGAAAGCCCCGCGAAAGCTCCTGAAAGCTCTCACGAAGTCTGATTTCCTGGAGTCCCAATCGAAAACACATCGTCGCGAAAGAAAACGCGAAGTCCCACACAACACTACACCTTCCGCGAAAGCCAAAATGCAGGTCGCGAACGCTCTGTGAAAGCAAACCAGGATTATACAAAAGGTATAGGCGGTTAGTTTTCGATCTCGCTCAACAAACTTGTAGTGAAATTGTGGAGCAGCTCTGCATATTTTGTACCTACTCTTGGAGAAAGCAGCTCAGACTTCAGCATAAATTTGAGATGCAATGTCATCAGTCACATCAGATTACAGATGGTGAAGCTGAACTGTGTTTTCACGTGTTTTCTCAGTCTTCTCCTTGTTTTAATTGGCTTCATTCTAGCATTGTTCAATGTGGTGTTCATCCATTGATGATTGCTGGTTAATTATATGTGCTAATATCAAATATCGAATACATTCAATAGAGCAAAGTCACAGCGTTGCAGCAGCAGTGTTTGACCTGCACAAAAGTAAATGGACAGACACATCCAACATTTCCAGTTTTGCTCTGATTTGGACTTTTCACAATGAGGTTGTTTCTATTGGACTTGTGCAACACTCAGAAGAGCATACCTTGTGCAGACGTGACATGTTTCCTCATCACTCATCACAGTATACTCTTACATTTGTCCACGGTTTTAATTGGACAAATTACCCGATTCAAGGGCAAATGGGATTGGCATTGGCGTGGATGGTATGAACATGTTCACAAACCTATGATGCCAGATGTCAATGGTCCCATGTTGAAGAGGACGACTTTTCTAGATCAGATCCTTGGCCAGTTTTTCTGCCACTTGGTTTGGATGGTTGCTCCAAGGTCTTGCGTTTTGGCGACTTGCGACTTTGGTGCCAGACCATGTTCGCCGCAGCTCTTCTCATGGTTCTCAAGGCCAGCGGTTGTCCATCCCTTGAATGTTTCAACGCTCCAACTGTTGTTTCACTTGTGGCATTGTTTTGCGGAATCGTCAGTAGCAGATGTTCTTGCAGCAAAAGAAAATGGAAACACCTCCAGTAATATACTCTGCTGTCAGACCCTTAGTTTGGCAACACAAAACATGTTTGCAAGATGTGTAGCAGTGTAGCCCTTGGATTGAACAAAAGAACAATGACTTCAACATGTGGGTTTCCACTGGTTTCCAGTCTTGTTCAACAAGAGGCAAAGCCGCAAAGTCATTCAAGTGAAGTTGCTTCCTTTCAGGGCTTTGCCTCTTGGGCGACAGTGGTTCCCGACAAGGGATGGAAGGCAAGGAATGCCTAATATCGCTTAAAAAATGCTTGGAAGCTATAGGCTGAAGCAACACATCACCAGGTATTCTGATGCGTTCTGTATTGGTGTCAGTTGAGTGGTAGTTGTGGCTGAGACAAGCTCACCTGTGCTTTATGCATGCTTTGGCTGTATGGTAATTATGTGCATCTATTGCCGAGTTGCCAGTGAAGATGTGTTTTCATTACCAATAATTATGCCAGGTTTGTCAGGATCGTTTGGGACCGGATGGTTTGCGCTACTATCGCGAGGAGATTGTGGATGTTGCTTTGACCCGTCGGCCATCGGTGTGACATGCCTTGACCGACCCTGCACAATAAAGATCAAATCAGGGGGCGTGAACAGAGATTGTGGGCGCTGGAAATCGGAATGATAGGCCGATGTGCGGCATTGCAAGTAATGGTTGACGGTTGACGTCTTTGTGCGGTGCGGGTTTGTAGGGGTGTTGGTGTTGGGTGATTTGACATGTGTGCTGACTGGATTGGAAGATTGTGAGATATCATGAGGTCAAAACTCAGCAAGATCTCCACATTCTAGGCACACCTCTGTATTATCAGCTTGGAGTTGCGATCAACAACACTCGCATTTGTAGAAGAGGCATTGAAAGGCAAGGCTAAGTGAAGATTTCATCGGAGTATTTGCAGGACCAGCCCTTTTTCAATATGGTGCCCGACATCCTCTTGCTGCAGGTGTCCAGGATGTTTGACCCAAAGACGAAATCCCACGCCAGACTCGGCGGCTCCTTTGGTTTCCTTCGAACCTTGTTGGGCCATGTGTTTTTGTGGGTTTTGCCAAGTCAGCCTAGACGAGCTCCTGGCAATCTCATTGTTTGAACACAGAAAGTGTGCAAAAGGGAATGCAGTTGAATGACCTCTTCCCAAGTTTGACTTGCTCCAGAGCGCTTTTGGTATAATATTGGCAACTTGTCGTTTGTTGGTCACCACCAAACCTTCCTTTAGACTGCGCTACAGGTGCAAGGCCTTTGGTTGGGAAGCTCTAGACGACGCCTCTGTGTGGTGGATGCGCCGCCACTTGGCGAATGACATCGGACTGATGACAGATGTGACTTCAAGCAAAACACATGTTGACTAGGACCTTAGGAACAAGGACGCTACTAGTAACAAAGGGCATCGCTACTAGGAACAAGGATGCTATTAGTAGCTCCTGGCCATACTAGTCACTAGTCGTAACAAGAAGCTACAGGGCGAGGGATGTGAGCGAATGGTTAGCCTATGTTAGCTTTTCGCCTCTTTGGATCATCCCAGTGTCAAAGTTCCCGATGGTTCAAATTATTACAGGTTGCATGGTGCTGCTGCTTCATTTATATAACATTAACATACCGTACCACACACAGGACATGAGAGGACTGTTTCACAAACAGCAGCAATTCATGAGTTTCGAATATTTGTGCGAAAAAAATCGAACTACTATATCTTGTTTCACGCCTGACAGTTCAAGATGCGACATTAGCTCACATGGTTTCCAGCCTCAGATTCACGGCTCGGGGTGCTCCCTTCACTGAGGTTCCATAGCAACATTTGTTTGTCCACGGTGTTCTGCACCAGCCTTTGCGAGGCACATCAAGCATTGGATGCTGTTGCAGACATTTGCAGACATCTCTTCAACTGCTAGGAGTTCTACTCATAAGTGACAAACCCTGATATTTGATATGAGCCTGCCTCATATGCAGGTAGCGAAACATGGACAGTGACAGAATCCAAATTTATACTAGGTTGAGGCCCTTAGGGTTGAAAGACTTTCTTTTCCGGCCAGACATCTCCGGTTTCTGACTCATAAGAAGTAAGGCATGTCATGCCATTTAGGGCCCACAGCCAAAGCCGGTGACTACTGTCCAACCGCTGAGGCTGTTTTGGCTGAAGAAGGTCTTAAGTAGTCTTAAGTAAGTCTTTTAGTTTCTGCTTGCTGCCACTGCTATGTTGCCAACCACACTCACTCCTGGCAGACCATCATGTCGGCAGTTGCCGGTCAAAGTTTCAGTGGGCAGCAGTAACATTCATCGCGCAGATGCCTTGGCTGCTGGAGGGCAAGGAGGCTACCACTGTCCTTATACATTCTTATGCCTATTAGGTGCATTTTCCATGGCAAGATGCAGCCGCTTGGGTCGCTTTGCAGCGAGCAAGGGCCACGATGAGCAACAGAAAGCTTTAGTGGTGGGTGCTGGGCCATCAGGACTTGCTGTATCTTTGATGTTAGCCAAGCGCGGCTGGAATGTTTCAGTGTTCGAGCGCACGAGCGACCCAGCAGCTTACGACCCAGGTAAAGGCTTTATGTACTTAATTGATGGCCGAGGACAAAAGTGCTTGCGCGATCTCAGTCCCAAGTTGTTCGAGCGACTTGTAGACTCTGCGGTGGCCATGGCAGATGCCAAGATTGGAGTTTTGACGCCCAAAGGTTTGACCGAACGGGTGAACCCTATCAAGGATGCAGATCGCAAATCCTACTGGATACCCAGACATGCGTTCGTCGGTTTCTTGCTGGATGAAGCGAGGAAGATGGAGAACATCAATCTTTATTTAGAAGCAGACATTCAGAACATGGCCAGTGATGCCAGTGGATTTCACATTGACGTAGGGTTTGCTGGCAGCTCGGAAGTGACGGCCCATCAAGCCTCCTTGTTGGTTGGTGCAGATGGATATCGTTCGGCTGTCAGAGACAAGCTAGAAGAATGGGACGGCAAGAAAGGGAGATATAGAGTCAAGACATTTTCATCACCTTCAGCTGGGCTCCGTTACAAAGTTCTAACACTGCCTGGCGCATTTGAGCTTGAAACGCCTGAAGGAAAGAAAACCTTTTTGAGTGAAGGATTCTATGCAATCAGAGGTGTCTCCAAGAACAAGTGCAAACAAAAGCTTGGCTTGATTCCCGTCTCCAAGGAATTTGGAACAAGAACTGCAAACCTCATCACCTACGAAGATGATGCCGTGTGGGAAGCAGATACTGCAGAGAGCTTTACGGCATATGCTTCAGACCAGTGGCCCCACTTCCCGCTCAAATCCTTGGTGTCAGACGAAGAAATTCTACGTTTTGCAAAAAATCGTGGAGGTCGCTTTCCCAGCCCACAGTATTGCCCCAGTGCTGCGTGGACCGGAGAAAGTGGAGCTGCGATCTTGCTGGGTGATGCGCTGCACTCGCTGCCGCCCGACATTGGTCAAGGTGTGAATAGTGCTCTCGAGGACGTCACAGTCTTGGAGGCATGTTTCGCCTCAACTGACCGTGACGGCAATGCCAGCGATGCGGTGAGAGAGTTTGAGACACGGAGGATGCCAGACGTTGAAGCGCTCATCAAGATCGTTCGTGTGGCTGCACCCTTCCAATACAGCCAGGCCCCTTGGCGAGGCCGCCTTTGGAATGTGTCTTTTCTTTGCAGACTTTTGCTGAACAAAGCGTTGCCTGCAGTCTTTGATTTGCCACTTTTCCTCCTGATTCAACGTTCTGAGATGAGCTACAGGGAGGTGTGGAAGAAAGGAGGCCGTGGAGCTCAAAGGGCAACGATGCTTGGCATTCTTGCAGTAGGTGCAATTATTTGGAAGATCACTTAGCCGGCTGTTGGATCTCTGAGACAAAAACGATCAAGAAAGACGTGTGCTGTAGGCACTGCAGAGCATTTTTGGAGGATCTTATTCCGCTAATTATCACTTTAAGTTTAGACAAGTTGATCCTAGATGAAAACTAGCTGCACCTGTACTTCACTGTATACTAGCTGCAGCTTGAACTACTGACAAAATGCAAGATATCATTGTTCAAATCATCGAAATGCAGACAGCAGGTTGTCCCTGCCATGTTTTCGATTTAGGGTACCATGACTCCTGCAACGACAGGTCAGCATGGCGTGGTCTTTGCGAGAGGCAAGTATCAGTGGTTTGCTACTGACCTCTCAAAGGGAACCTGCCCTGTCCTCCACTTCAGGCCACATTTTTGGGACACCAACCAGGCGTTTTGCTCCACAAACTGGTTCAAGACCTGCATTTCATCAGGCACAAGCCATGTATTGACAGACTGAACCAGCGCGTGTTCATTGCACATAGTGCTTATGGTGAGGCCGATGTGCCGGCGATGGCACAGTGCCTGAGGCTGGAAGTCGACATTTGTTTGGTCACAAGCTGCTACATGAGGACTTTTGGACGTCAAGTAGCGCCCCAAATCGAGCCTTCCAAGTGTTAACAGTTGGAAACAAGAACGCCAATCAAAAGGCTCATCGCATGCATGGACCTTATACCCCTTGCCGCCTTGAAAGTAGCACGTTCTTTACTTTACATTTCTTTGCTACGGGTCAGTTACTACAGGTAAGCCTTAGTTGGCAGCAGTTTGACATCCGCACCGCGAACCTCCTGCTCATATACATGCTGCTGGTGCTTCTTGTGGCCAGTGCCCTGTTGGCCGGGTTTGCCGCCAAGCTGGAGATGGGGTTCGATGGCGATGGCCTCCAGCCTAGAAGCGATGGCCTCCAACCTACTAGTGATGGCCTCCAACCTATACGTATAATAGCGATGGAGACGGGGTTGTTTAATTTTTGGGGTTGGCAGTTGTGCACAGCAGACAGTGTTTCAGACGGCATGGCCACCTTGTCAGAGCCCGTTCAGAAGCTGCTGACTACGTTCCAACATTGCATACCTGAGAAAGGAGTATGCATCAACATGTGTGAGGTCAAAGCCTGAAGTAACCAACTTCACAGCACTTGGCATGGTTGGGAACCCCAAGTCGGAAATACTAAATTTCGGTCAGAATGTTGACGCTTTCTGTGCTGTATTTTACTCTCAAGCTGCTCGGGCACTTGGAGGCTCCGAGGCTCAAGTCCAAGAGGCCATGAGACCGACAGGTTCCTGGTTGATAAGGTCACGATGTTCTTTAACAATTTTGTCATTGAGACGGGTATTGCATCCATCAGCTAATATGGTTAGAGACTGGTTAGAGAGTCCAAGCATTTGCCTGGTCGCACTCCTTAGACCTTCCACAGGGCCTCCTTCTACCGAGGTTTTGGCTCTAGCAGTGCTGTCCTCGGTGATGGTCACTGGCCACCAAGCAAATCCTCTGAGAAGACATGTGGAACCTACTTGTGTAATTGGAGTGTGATGCATTTTGACTAGAACGTGTCTGACATTAGCAGCTTAAGGGGCTTTTGCGGGAGACGGAGGGAGACTGGCATTTGAGGTCTATGGCAATCCTGCCTGTCTCTGAGCTGGATGGATTGGTTCATTCTGTAAAGCAGAATCCATACTACAGTGTAATGCTTATCAATGCTTTGTGATCTCACATCAAGACACCCTTCTTTCCAACGCTGCATTTCGAGATTGCCTTTCTATGCGGTTGGGAGTGCGGGTGTTTGAAGATGGCTTGGCGTGTTCTTTTTGTCAAAATCAGTTGGACGCTTTTGGGCACCATTGTATGAGTTGCATGGGACAAGGCCATAAACAAGTCATGCATACCTCATTCAAAAATGTCGTGTACCGCCTGGCGGCGCGTGTGGGTACCCGGCCCACCCTGGAACCCCCTAACCTTCTGCCAGACACTCCCCACTTGCGGCCTGCTGACGTGTTGATCGTTTCATTACCAGATGTCCAACAATCCTCGTGGCGACGGTTCCCCAAATTAGCCTTGGACTGTGCCATCACTTCCCCCCTCCAAAGCGCAGTTTTGCGCGCAGCGGCCTCCACTCCACTGACAGCAGCTGAGAGGTACACTGAACTCAAACGGAAACACCTTGACATGCAACAACACTGTGCCCGGCACAACTTAGGCTTCGAACCCTTAGTGGTGGAAAGTACAGGTGGCTTGCATGGGGAAACTGCCGCCCTCCTTCAATCAATGGCAAAGCTAGTTGATTCCCGTGAGAACCTTCCTGCAGGCCATACTTGGGAACAGCTGCAGGAACGTATTTCTATTGACCTTCAACGCGGACTCCACGGAGCGTGCCTCAAACAGCGGCAACGGTGGAGCATGGCAGCTCCTTCCTTTACTGAGGTTGGAGCGGCCTTCATGGCCACATGTGTCTAGACCGGTCAACTGGCAAGGTTGGTGCGCTGCAATAGCTACTTCTTCCCCCACACCTTCCTGCGAGCGCTGTGCAGCGGCGCATTTGCGCGGTGAGAGCGGCCCGTATTAGAGTTTGTACATGCAGTCAACGCATCTCACCTCCATACCGACTCGGAGAATCCCAACGTCGGCTGGTTTCCTGTCCTCCGTTCGCTGTTGCGTGCGGCACACGTGCAACCCTGGCCCGGGGGGTTGCTGGTGGGCCGGTGGTCTTCTTGTTGTTGGTGTTGTTGTTGCTTTTGGGCCCACAGGGAACCATGCATGGGCGATGCCGCTCCTGAAGGGAGTCGCATCTAGCCAGCTTTTCACCCAATCATCTGTCGAACCACGACATAGACCACGTGCGAATTCAGCAGAATCCCCCCCCCAAAAAAAAATCTCACATATATCGTAGTAATTTCTAAATCTTGGGGAATGCAAATAGCAGGGTTCGGTCGCATATTCAATTGGTTCTCCTCACAAGTTCGCTTTGTATACCAACAACTGCATACCAACATGCATTGGATCTCCTTTATGCCAACAAGTAAAGTCCCTCGTGGATGTTTGGTGTTTGGGATCGTCTCTCTCTATATATATTTATGTTATATACACACTATATTATATAATTATATATATATATGCTCCCCCCCTGAACAGTCGACCTTTCTTGCCTGTTTTGTGAGCCTTGGAGGGTTTTCTAGACATGTTGAATCTTGAATCTTGGATCAGGCACTACTTGGAATAAATTTGCCACAAGGTTGCAAGGTTGCAAACGTTTGCAATGGATGACCGGCCTCCAAACATGCCACTACATTACCAAGAACGTTGCCACATTAGAAGCCATTTTTCAATGCTTGATAGTCTTTTTGTCCGATATTATTAGAGTATATATTATTTTGTAGCTGTTGTTTCTTTTTCAACTTGAATAGCATCATGATATTTGCAACCCTTTGTTTGTGATTTTGATCTCCTTCGACACAATATCGTCCTGTATCACCCGCATAAGCTTTCCTAGCTCATTGAAATGCTGCTTATTATACGGTAGTTATAGGCTCTCCATACACAAGCTTGTTACAGTGAATATATTTTTACCATTTGCATTAACAGGATGTGTAAGCCTTGTTTTGGTCTATTTCCAAGTGTACCTCCCTGCTGTAAAGAAAGTTATGAAGTTTCGCAGCCGGTGGGATTGATCTACACTGGTTTAGGATGTTAAAATCAACTTCATTATTACAGGAATTATGTAAGGGGTTAAACATTTGTTGGTTGAACGTGAACATTGCTTTTGACATGGTGCTGTATGCTTTCTTTGCCTCAACTGTTAAACTGGCATTGATTGAGTCGGTCAGATTTTGTGTTCTCACTATATATATATATACAGTACGTAATTGGTTTCACTTTTGTTTTTTTAGCTTGAACCTGACATTCAACTGAAATAATGCCTGAACAAAACTTGAACACCTTCTCAGTGTATTTCAGAAAGTCATCACTGCCTTCAATCGTCCAACATTCAAAGGGTTCATCTTTGGTGTTGATGTGACGGTCTGTAGAAGTCTTCACATCACACATCTAATGGGTATTCCTTGTTCATACAAAGCTTTCTTTTCTCGTGCCTTGACGTCTCAGTTTAGTGTGTAGATGCGGTCATCCTCAATCAAGCCAAAACATGTAGTTTAATATGATTTAATACTATTGTCTTGTTTTGATGGCTTATAGGAGTACAACATGTTAACCATTCAAAGATTCTGGCTGAGGCTGATACATTGATTATTGTTTGAACACCGGTTCATATCATGAATTGATGCTCCAGACTCCAGATGTCTTGAATTCTTCATCTTTAAAGGTTTTGTTTGTAGTGCAACCAGAGGAGCAGTGACAGATTTAATTTTTTGAGTCGAAGATGTGTGGATACCATTTCCATTAAACATTCTTCGTCCAAGCTCTTGGTTCATGGTCAACTCGGTCACCTAAATTTATGGCAAGCCTGTTTTTCCCCACCTGTTAGGCGAGGGTTGTCAGATTTTATGTCAGCTGCCGCGCTTCTCCTCTCCTCCTCTGCTTCCTCAACCGCGAGTGTCGGATGGCAGTGTTCTCCGCCAGACCTCACAAGCCAGCTCCTGATGGCAGTGTTCCCCGCCAGACCTCGAGTTCCCCGCCGGACCTCAACCGCCAGCTCCGGACGGCAGTGTTCCCCGCCAGACTTCAACCGCCAGCTCCGGACGGCAGTGTTCTCCGCAAGACCTTGACCTGGGCCAGCTCCGGACGGCACCCCTTCGGACCTCAACCGCCAGCTCCGGACGGCAGCCAGATAGAACGCCAGAAAGAATGCCAGTGACAGAAGGAATGTCAGATAGAATGCCAGAATGAATGCCGAAATAATGTTTCAAGACATGCCAGAAAATTTGTCACATTGAAATGTCATGGTGGGAATCACTCGAAGTAAAGTAGTTTGGTTTCAGGAATGAATGGCTCACTGTTAATCGCTTGCGGCTGGAACGCCAACCACTAAGCGTGTCTGCTCAAGCCAAAAAAAGGTGTCCCACTTGGCCAAAAATGCAATAAAAGACACGTGTTTCAGTTCTTGGAGAGCCCAGTTGGTTTCAACCTATCACACAATCCGTCACTGACAAGTTTCCACAGCTCCGCGAATGCCTGGTGCTTTCCATTGTAGTCTTACACATCCATGTGACTGTGAGTCACTCGTGACTCGTGACTATGATGTTTTAAGCCGGCTGTGCAGCAGCTGTTTGCTGGCGGCCGCGGCTGGCTGCTATGCCGGCTGTCGGCTGGCTGCAGTTGCTGCGTTATATTGCATTTAGTCTCCCAAATTGGCAGCCCCCCAACTTGTCAAATTGTTTTCCCTGTCAAGGCTTGGGTGCCCCAAGTTGCCTTTCCCTTGCTCTTTCGGGGGGTGAGGGCGCCACACGCAATGCGTTAGCACACCTCTCAATAAAAGGGTCTGTTGCTCACTGCGTCTTAATTCCCATGGTGCGCGCGGCGTTCTGCGCTGTGAGCCGCACCCCACCAGTTTTCCAGCAAAGCTGTCGTTGACGTGTTTAGCTCAACGCTTGCCCGTATAAGGTGGTGGGAGAAGCCGGAGGAGCAGGCGCAGAAGCTGAGGCTGTTCCTGTGCTGGGCTTTGCCGAGCAGTATGGAAAGTTCCACATGCGTTCCTGAGGACAAGTTTGACCACATCATACTATACAGGATTGAACTCGACCATCCATTTCCACAAGATGCCTGGCACTGGCCCTCCCCGCTCCAGGAAGCACCAGCAGTTGCCAAAAGCATCTGTCAAGCTCGTGCCATGGAGGCCAATTCATGGGTGTTGGGCGAGAACGACCTCATGATCATCTTTGACGGTCGCAGCGACGGCGGCCAGGACAAGATGAAGAAAATATCCACGAAGCTTCTGAAGAAACAGAAATCATTTGCAACCCAACCTCGCTGTCCGTTCCGCCTCTTGTATTCCTTCCAATGGAGGCTTGGCTGCGCAGATCAGGCAAAAGTTGGGCACAAGGGATATTTGACAGACCTGGCTGAGATGATCTTCGTGGCGTCTCCAAAGACTGCGACAACCCCAGTCCGATCCAGAACCTACTGCAACTTGCCGGGTGAAAACACCAGTCGTGGCATGTCAAACTGTCAAACATCAACCCGCGAAGCAAGGAAGAAGGAAGAGCGCACCATGCAAGGTTTCCAGGTCTCTCGAGGCCACGCAGGGTATACAGTAAATCTCAAGGTTTACGACTCAGTCGTCTGCCCGTCAGCATCGCTAGCCTTGCTCTGGCCTTGGACAGAACAACCAACTTGGCCCTAAACAAGGAAGTTTTAGATGTTAAATCTAGCGCAACATAGGTTATATAACATAGTAGCTTATAGGCAGATTTCGTTTCATACCTGCGACTAGGCCCTATCTTACAAACTTCTAACTGGCTTACAAGTAAGTTAGCTTGGCCCAGAACTTAATAGGAAGCTTTGTCAACAGTGTGTTTGCAACGCGGGTGCAGGGAAGGACCATTTATGGCAACATGCAGCTTTACTGCCCAGGGCTGATGAACCTTTACGCGGTAAGTATGCAATTCTTCTTTGGAACAAAAAACAAACAATTTGAATGTCACCAGTAGGGTTAAAAAATCTTTCATATGGTAAGGCCAGAATCCTAGATTAAAAGTCAACAAAGTCAAATGGAAAAGTCAAAGTCCAAAAAATCAAACTGAAAAGTCAAAAGTCAAAACAGTCGAACAACAAAAACCATCAAACATAGACCACTGCTCGAAAAAGTGAAAAATAATAATAACGCAAAAAAATCGAAAAACATACGAAAATCAAAACAATCAAAAACATCAAATTACAAAACAACTCGAAACATTAAACGCAAAATAAATAAACAATGACTCAAAAATCACCCACTCGAAAACATATAAACACACTTCGAAAAACCGTAAAACGTCGAAAAACGTGGAAACACAAAAAACATCAAAAAACCGGATCTGGGCAAATTGTTTTTTTGACTTTCTGAAACTTTCTGATTTGATTATTTTGACTTTGCCGTTTGGGACTGTTTTTATTTTTTGGAAAATTTGAAAACAGGTTCTCTCCAATGAACAGTTTTTATAACAGTAGGGTTGGTACACAAAATCTTCCGCATCTGCGCTCACCACCGTCTCCATAGACGTTGCCGGAGCGTCCTCACAGTCCAGCGGTCCAGCGCAAGCTTGAACTTTCGTACGCGTTTTACTGAAGGCTGGGCCACATGTCATTTTCAAACGACTCACGCAAGTCCTCAACCTGCGCGCTCTTCAAGCAAGTGCTGCTTCTTATACTCTCTACGCCCTGAGACGGGTGCGTCCGATGCTGTCAAGTTAAACACATGCTATTCGCAGAAATGATCGTTTTGGCTATCCTGGAGATTCCGAGGTCCTATATAGTGGAACGTGTGACAAAGGGGATGGTGTGTTGAATTTCCTGTCACAGGTTGACAGGGGACATCTGATGTCAGTACACACGTTAATGACCTTTTGTTTAAATTTTGCAAACGTAGTGTCTCCTGTCAACGGACAGGTTGGTCAGGCAGCCACAAAGCTGCACATTGTGGACACCTTGAAGAACTGTAGCACCTCTCCAAGTACATTACTTCCCAAGGTGCTCCCTTTCCTCTGCCAATGCTTTTCTGACTAGGTGTATTTGGTCTGGGCTCATTGCTGTAAAGCTGGAAACAATTAAACATAATTAAACATTCTAATGTACTTACATACCCTGATGGCTTCTTCAAATTTGGCAACACTCTTCATAATGTTAAGTTATTGATAATACAGTGATATGTGTGGGGACCGGCCAGCCATTGCAAACGGCTCCTGTGGCAAATTTGGCGCTTGGAACCCAAGGTTCAATTTAACAAAACTGAATCCTGAAACTTGGATCAAGGAGAGACTGGTTCCAGAAGGTTCTTTTAGATCTTGAACCGTGCATGTTGAATCTTAAACATTGCTCCCGTGTGCAAACGTGATGTTTGTCCTGGTGTTTCTTGGATTTATGGAGTTTATCTTGAGTACGCTCTGCTCTATAGATACGTTTGGATTTCCAAATATGGTACCCCTCCCAAAAGATAAATTTAACCAACAATGCCAAATTTGGTAGACTGTTTTCTTTTGTGGGGTGCCATATATGTAATATATACATATTTATGTGTGTATATATATATATATATCCCTTCGATTTTGCGAGTCCACGTCCTCGACTTGGAACGGCCTGGGCCTTGTCACTTCCGAGGCCCTGGCTTTAGCGGTGGAAGCCTGGTGTCGACACACTGAGCTGGAGACGCCCAGTCGGCCAGGACGACGCGAAATCGTTGAAATCCAACGCGCATCAATTATCCTCAATCATCGTCATACCACTGCGTCCTATCTAGGAGCTTCCCTTGATACTTGTTGTTTGCACTTGGAGTTTTGTCTATATCAAAAGTCGATGTTGTTTGTTTTTTGTTTTTTGTTAGTTCCGAGATCATCAGCCTTTTGCACTGTAAACCTTGCCGGAAATCAAACCACTGATAAACATCGTGTGTTGTTGGCTCCTCAGTTTTTTCGGTGGCCAAGGGACTTGGATTTCACAGAAAAACGCTAAAACTACAAGAACACCAGATCAAACTCCTTTTTAGTTTTGTTTTGTCGTCAAACCGCCATCCATACTCACATCAATGCTTTTGACCGTCGCATTCTCTTGCAGTTTCTCTCCAGTACCAGTGCTCTCCACCCAGCACTCGCCCAACTCCACCATGGCACTCATGGGACCGAGGCGTGAATCAGCTGAATTCCAATTTCCATTCTGGAATAGTTTGTAAGACAGAGCTTGTAATCCTATATATCAGAGTTTTCATTTGAACAGATAAACAACAACCATACTAGACACGAGACCTTGTTAAAGAAAGCGCTTTAATTGCACGGGTACTGGAGGCCATGACCAAAGTTGGAGCATAGAAGGTGTGCTGCTTACCGGATTCTATTCCAGAGTTTCTTGGCCTTGTGGCGGTATCCTTTGTCAACTGGGTAAAGAGCCCCTTCAAAGCAGGTGATACTGAGGTCACTGCCCTGATCAAAGATTCCCAGCGGAATCATCATTGAACTGGCTTCCTTTTCCAGCATAGTACCAGCTCGTACCAACCTTGCTGCAGGCAGCTCTCTGACTTAGCCAGAGCCTCGTAGGGACACTGACAGCTTGAACAGTGCAGAGTGTTTTACCCATGGGGTGCCAAGTTCATCCATACATTTATTGACGCATACAATTTACATATATATATATATGTATATTGTTTTCACATCGCATCAGACAGTCTAAAGATAAATCATGTTTGCAAGTTTTCAGATGACAGCAAATAAAAAGTACGGCAGGTGGATGTCGACAAACAAGCGCGAGGGATTTGATGCCTTCTTACTTCCTATACATTTCACGCGACAGGGCGAGGAGAGTGCTCATGACGTTGGACAGGCCGCACAAAAGACTGGCGGGTCTTCAACTTGTTATTTGCTTTCGCTGTTGTCCATTAAATGAGATGGCGTCGAACACAATGTGCTTGTGTGGTTTCCATAGAGCGCCAGGTGCTGATGCTGCCTTTGATGGCGCTCCTCTCATGTTTCCAGACAATCGGGCGTCTCCTAGCAATCACCTGAGTCATTTATTTTGCTTGGTGCAAATTCCTGGGACACGCAAGAGTTTCCCCAGTTAATAAGCATATAAGTGCAATGAGATTCTACGATCACAATTTTTGTGCTGGGAGTGAACCTATTACTGTATGGAAGTTGCTCCCCTAAGCGTCGCAAAAGACCTTTATTGCACCTGTGCTTTCAAATACCTGCTCGAACTCAGCAGCCGCTTCATTGGTGCTGACATTTTTGCTGCAACGACGATGATGCCCCACTGCCAGGCCAGATACTGCTACATTCAGCAACACCCACAGGAAGGCTCTTTGCTGCAGAAGAAGGCACCCAACCTTGAGCAAGCCACCCGCCCGACAAACCCAACCTTGTCCACTTTGAGCGCTTTGACAGCTCATGACTAGGTCTTGCTTCAGCAGCTCTTGAAGACTTTGCAGCAGTCCCAGGACGGAGAAGGGACAGAGCCAAGGAAACCAGGAGGGACGGGACAGAAGCACGTGAATCACCCTGTACGGGAGCTTTGCTTATCAGGGAGCTTTGATGAGCTTTGCTTCTCATGAATCCGCCGTGGTTTCGGGCAATCCTGTTGCTGGGTTGACACAGACTGATTTCGGACTGATGGGACTGAGAAACAACTTGGAAGGATCAGCTGTTGCGGAAAGAGCAAAAGAAGGACGAACTGCTCAAGAAGGCTCGCGAAGTGAGTCGCAGCAAGTCCATTCAATTACTGTAGAATGTGGTTCCACAAAATTCCAAGATGCATATTGCCATATATTGCCCATTATTGCCTTGTGATACATTGTGTAGGACCGTAGGATAAATTGAATAGATGTAGGCTATCGGATATTTCATGATTTTTTTGAAGCTAAGCCTAAGCTACTTGTTTGCTGTAGCAAAAGTTTGTTGTTTCGACTCGTTTGGATAGACGTTGGCAGGAACAAGCAGACGAGCTTCTCAGTGCTCTTCGCGCAGATCGGTTCGCTGAGCAACGCATACAGGAGGATGACAGGGAAACGGACTGGCTGAGGATGCCAAAAACTCGAGAGACTCGTCAAGGGTTCATTGTTGTAAGATGAACTTTATCTACGGAGAGAGAGAGAGAGAGAGCGAGAGCGTTTGATCAACAAGAAAGACAATGAACCCTTGACAATTTGCAGGGATGAAGTCGCGCATTGAATGAATTATCCTGAGTGAAACAACCTCACTATCCAACACTATTTGACTATTTGTATCTTTTTGTGGTTTGCTGAGAGTAAAGGTGAGGCCTCTTTGATCAACATCCGTGTTCGTTTTCTTTGGTGGCATCGAAGCCGTTACAAGGCGCTCTCCGACCAGCAGCGAATGCTCAACAGCCGCGCAAGAAAGAAGAAGCATCAGACAGTGAACTTTGAGGCAAGCAACCTGATGACTTGCCCAGAGATGAATGTGTATTCAGGTTGATATAGCAAGCCACAACATATGACGATATGAGATGCAACTCTGTGACAAAATGTGTTGAGCCACATTGCTGATATCAATGGCCGTGTTCGGAGAAGTGATGAGGATTGACAATGGAGTGAGGTCTTCCTTGAAGCAATAGTTTCTTTGACCAAGTTTGGCCCTGTGTCTTTTTGGAGTTTGTCTATTCTCCTCCATCCATCAGCTGATCCTTTGCACTCCGTACTTTCTTGCAGGAGCGCCCCCATGCAGACTTGCTGAAGAACACTTTGAGGGCGTGCCATTCCACGAGTGAGATCCATCACGCAGCATAACCTTTGGCCGGGTGCCACCACATCCATTCAAGATGTGCAACGTGTCATAGTTGAGAAATCAGAAAGCACAAAGAATGATAGAGCTTCTCACAGAATCTTGCAGGTTTGTTTGATATGTATCCCATCAATAGATTCAATGTCAAAGTCGAGTCACGTGATAGGCCCTTAATCGTGATAATTTATATTGAATATCGCATGGAGTGTGTGCCGCACGTCTTGTGTTATCGTCCGCAGTTACCATAAGGCTACAATTGTGCCTTCAGGTGCAGACTGTTTCTCAGATGACCATGCTAAAAACATGTGGAAACACAACTATATTATGATTCTGTTCAAAGACTTATGATTATGTTCAAGGACAGCAATATGCAATCTAATCTAATCGATCATTTATGATTTCGTCTACAGTAGGTTCAGGCCCCGGCTACGGAATGTACTATACCGCGAGGGTGACAAAGAACACCCTCTGAAATAAAGTGAGTGCGATCAGTGCTCAGTTAATGAGTTTGACATTGTTTGCCTGTTGAATGGATACCGAAAAAGGCAGTAAGCTTCAGACAGGACTGCTACAGCTCCTCTAAATATCAAGTCTTCTGTGCTTTTGAGCATACTATATATTCTCTCACACCCACACACACACTTAGAGAGACAGAGAGAGAGAGAGAGAGCGAGAGAGCTCGAAAGAGCACAATTTCAGAAAACGACTCAACAAAGTTTACTGCAGTTAGACCTTGGCTGGAAGAACGGCGTGGCGATGAGTCAGTGGCACAGAAATGTTGAACTAACGCGTTAGCACTTTATAGGAAGATTGGAGTTACAGCTTGAAAACGGTTGGACAAATGCAGGTACGTCGATCCAGCGTCCCGGTTCGATTTCACAGATGCAACACTGGTGTCACTGGTGTCTTCGTTGCCAGTCCAGTGTGCATCTCTGGCACCCCCTGCTATAGACAAATAGTCAACTAGGGAAAACAAGGAGAGAGAGAGAGAGAGTGAGAGAGAGAGGGAGAGAGAAGGAGAGACGCCTGTGAGAATCCCTTAGTAACAGGGCGCGACACACAACACACACTTTGACAATGGGTTTGCAGTTGCATCAATTCCCCGAGGAAATGAATGAGAGAACGGAAAGGTGGCAGAGTCCGCGGAAAAGTATTGTTGAACATTGTTTGCAGGTGGACTCAAACCCGATCTGTACACGCAGCGTGGCGGCAAGTCGGCTGCAAGTCGGCGGTGGGCAAAGGGTTTTGGGGTATATCGTGCAAGGACCATGAAAACAAACAAAGGAGTGGGCAGCGTGAGCAACAGTTTCTTTGCAGGTACACGGTCAGACGTCTCTGACCGCATCCACCGAGCAAGCATAGCTTTGTTAGCCAGCGTTTGCTTGTCGGCCGCTGGCCCCCTGCGACATGAACCGAACAGAAACTCTTTGGAACAGAGTGTGACACACACACACTCAGCCGCTTCGCGGCGCACACGCGGAAAACCTAAGTACGCACTTAAAAAGCCTTAGAGAAGGCAAACCAGAAAGAGCAGCGCTAAAAGGGCAAGAGAGAAAGATAGGTGTAGCGAAAAAGTGAATACTTAGCCCTTGACTGGGGTAGGGAAACGAGCGTAAGAAAGAAAGCGGGGGGGGGCAGGGAGGTGTATGTACATGTGTGTGTCCGTGTGTGTGTGTGTGTCTGACTACCTAGCCCTCTAGAATTATTGACTACTTAGCAGAAATGAATTAAGTGCAATAGTTAGGGAGCGGGACTTTAGTCTTATACCGCCCGGGTAGAGTAGACTAGAAAAGGGGCAACAGAGGGGAAGGCACCGACACACAAGTGTGTCGAGTACCATTTCCCTCTGTTACCCTAATTAGAGGGGGGAGGGGTTGGGGTGGAGAACATGTCGGGGTTTATTCTCCGTTGACCCGGCGGTTTTGATATCAGTCGCAAATCCGTGAGGCCCGGCGGCTTTTCATTTTGAGAATACAGTAGTCATGAGGAAATGGATGAGAGAACGGAAAAGGTGGCAGAGTCCGCGGAAAAGTATTGTTGAACATTGTTTGCAGGTGGACTCAAACCCGATCTGTACACTCAGCGTGGCGGCAAGTCGGCTGCAAGTCGGCGGTGGGCAAAGGGTTTTGGGGTATATCGTGCAAGGACCATGAAAACAAACAAAGGAGTGGACAGGGTGAGCAACAGTTTCTTTGCAGGTACACGGTCAGACGCTCTGACCGCATCCACCGAGCAAGCATAGCTTTGTTAGCCAGCGTTTGCTTGTCGGCCGCTGGCCCCCTGCGATATGAACCGAACAGAAACTCTTTGGAACAGAGTGTGACACACACACACACGCACCCTACACGTTGCGCTGCTCACCACTTGTTGATTTGGTTGGCTTGCAGTTTCTTTTCGGACCGGTATGTAGTAATGATTTGCTTTGTGCGCCAGTGAACTCCAAGAGTCCCATCTCATCATGAATAGAGCTCCAATTGCAAAGCGTTGGTTATATACACACGCTTGCTAGGCGGCATTTCATTGATAGTCCTTCATACCAGCTGAAGGCTCAAGCGATGGCATGCTGGTATAGCGAGAGCAACTCTTTGGATGGCCAGCCTTCAACCCTATGTTTGACTTCTCTGACAAAACTTGGCATACCCATTGGCCAACGCACAAACCGCTCTATTCATACCTACAAAGGCATATCTTGCCTGGTGGACCAAATCTCTTTGCATTTGTTAAAATCACTTGTTGGTCAATGGATCAAGCTAATCGAGCTTTGCAAGAAGCAGGTTGTTCCACGCATAGGAGGTCACCAGCAGATTGGGATGATAGCTATCTCAATTTGTCAATTTGTTGCACCTTTCTGGGCTCCATGCTTGAATTTCCTACCGCTTCACCATGTTCGTGTCAAGCTGAGCTGGATCCAATTCTTAAAGAAACACTACGACTGTTTAGCCCGACTGTTTAGCCATGCGCTCAGCCTCTTGCAGGTGACACTGGCATTACCCCAAAGAAGTGCTCTACCATCATCAACGTGGTGCGACCCTTGGATGTGCCTCTATATGCTCCATTCTTTTGAACGCTACTTTCTGGACATTGTGCCTCATAATGACTGTGGGTGTGCAGAGATGTAACCCAAGAGCCGAAGAGAGAGGACTTGTGGTTTACTATGTATGGCACATTTGGTCATTGCTTGGTGTTTGACATATTTTTTGATCTTTTTTGCACGGCGTGTTTGCATGTTGAATATAATTGCCGTTGATGCAGGTGTGCCAGCCACGGTTCTCACCGTTTGCTGGTACAAGGACGACGAAGCTCAGCAGCAGCTGGGAGAAATAGGAAGCATATGCACTCATAGTTAGCTATGTTATGTTATGTTATGTTATGTTATGTTATGTTATGTTATGTTAGTATGTATGTATGTATGTATGTATGTATGTATGTATGTATGTATGTA